TATACTCGTCGAAATGGCAATTCTTCCTATTGACGTCAATAAATTAATGTCAGTTTCGGTTACCTATTAAAAACAAAACAAATATACCCGCCGTAAAAAATAATACTCTGCTCTGCATGAAATTATATGCAAAACATTATAATGTTTACGACACTGTACATTAAACACGTTATAATATTTTTCACCTAGCCGCCGGTGTGACGCAGTGGCGGTGTGTTTATATATAATACCTATTTCTATACCGGACATAATTGCAATAACGTGTTTACCAAGGCCACAGAATAATGTACGTATGATTCCGTTGTACCCGGTACGCCGATGTTACCGCAAATTTGTATACACAAACACAAGTATTGTCTGTATTATATAGGTATCTATATATATTATATTATATTTATTATATACGGGTAATAATAATAATAATAATAATGCGATTTTGCAATTCGTGTCCTTTCGCGAAAAGGACACGCACATCGCCGCTGCGGCGGCGACCCGCGTGCTGCGCGAATTGTGTGTGTGTTCGTTGTGTGTATTAGAAAGTCATGATAACAAAAAAAAAGAAGAAGAAACGATATAATAAAAAATATAATAAAACTGTCTAATCGTCGTTTGCGCTGACATCACGATATAATATACCGCGTTGATGTAACGTTAAAAATGTATATGGACGAGGTGTGCATGAAACGGAAAGTAGGTAGGTCCTATGTATACATGTTATGATGAGAATATTCAGTAAAAAAAAAAAACTTTTTGTTTTTTCGTCTGTCTCATTTGGGCTGTCTCCATGCGTATTTAATAATGATATCTTCACGTCATGCGTGAGTGCCGAGCGATTTTCACATCCTATTTGACAATAAACCTACGTCGTGACGCTCTTGTACAAAACAATATACATAATATACTCATACGATGCAATTGGCGCCCAGATGACTTTCGAGTACATTAATCAAAACTATTGCATTTCGTTTCTTAGTATATTATCAATTATCATTCGCTAATAATATTAGGTTTGCATCGCGTTATTCATAATAAAATGCGGTACATAATATTATACAAATATATACGTATGCATAAAATAAACTATTTTAATGATTTTATGTGTAATAAAGGAAAAATTCTAAATATTATACAAACTGAAGAATATTTAGATAATATAATAAAATCGCTTACCTCTATAAAAACGATTATAATCATCATCCGACACCCTCCCGTTCACGTGGTTTCAAGCACAGATATGCATGCACCTCTGGCCTCTGCAGTACACACTAGTGCATTGTATATAATATATTGTTATATTTAGGTAGGTTGTATTTCATAAATAATATTACAGTCTTCCAACGTATACCTAACCTATATAGGTGTAGTGTGTACGTATAATAATAATAATACCATATGAAAACGACCGCTTTTGTTTTCGAGATGAAACAATGAACGACGAAAATCCAGGGAACTGGGCCGTCCTGCAGAGAGTTCGATACACTTTGCGCTCGCGTCGTCTAGACGTGTACGCGACCCGGAAACTCGCGCGCCTACGATACTGCAGTTTCAGTCTTCGACCGCCTTTGCGAAGTGCGTGGGAAATTCACATTATCTTTTCCAAGATCGTAGGTGCACATACGAATGATTACCCTTTCGTAAAATTTACGCTTTTATTATTGGAAAAAAAATTGTTACCACAATATGTATATTAACACATTTTAAGATATAAAAATAAATATGTAGAACAGGTTAATGCGCCTAACCTTATAACTTATGATATACATATTATCGCAGACACGAGAGAACAAGAGAAAAATCTTATTGATGTGACACACGTGGCGGTGACTACGATATCTGATTACACGGGGCCGATACCCAATACGGCGACTTCTCCGGTTATTACGACGTCACGTAGTGTGTATCGTTAGAAGTCAGAGAAAAAGTCTCACACGTTTCGAGGCCGTCCGTCCAATCACTGTCATAATATTGTAATTATTAACGAAAAGAAATTATAATGAACAATCTGAAGCTTTTTCGGTCGTGCGTGTGTGAAAACCGCAAATTAAATAGTTAAAATGTGTATTTGAAATTGGCGGAATTAGGTTTATACACATTATTTGAACCTATTTTTTATTATTATAATGAACAAAGGTTCACGCCACGATTCAAAACGGTTCTAAACTAGTCTTGGCAATGCACAATTTGGCCAAGTCGAAAATTTATATAATATGGCACACATGGAACGTTTGGCTGCAGACTCACTTTTTTGCCGCATGTGTAAATTGGCATTTTGTGGGAGTATACAATTCGAATTTATTTCTTGCGTCTTTAATTATTAATATATTATAACACATTTTGATTCTTTGAGGTAAAAATAAAATAGTCAAATCAACAGTGAGTACAATTTAGGTTTGCGTATTGATTTCGGTTTTCAAAAAAATAAATATTGTGTAAACATCTCGTATTTGCGTTATTTCTGTAATGACTTTTTATTTCCGTGTTCTTGTGTAGGTTGTAAACGAAGAAATGACATTTAAAACACCGAGCCAAAACCACCAGATATTCTGTTGACCTACTTGTTTGCCCGTCTTTTCGAAATTGAATATTCCCAATAAAACCAGTTGGCTATGACTCGTAAAGGTCGTGTGAGATACCGAATTCATAATAATAATATGAAAGGGCAATGCACTGCAGAATATATACTAAAAATACTCATTTCGTTGCGGTTCGTGCTCAACATACATTTGTTTCGAACTGAACACACTGCACAGCGGATTCCAATATAAGTTATAACATCATTTAAAATAAATACCTAATGTAATGTATCAATTTTATCGCAAATGAAATTTCCAATTTGCTTTTATTTCGATATACCGATAAAACTTTTATTCCAATGCGTGTACAGTGAACACTATACATGTATACTGTGAATTCAATCGTTTATTGCAGTTTAGTTTATATACGCATCAGTGCGAAGTACAATATACACTAGGGATTTTGCTTACCATTTTTATTCGCGTACAGTAGGTAGATGATATAAGTACCTACGTCCTACATACATGGTTTGTTTGTCTCAGTGCGATCTATTCTCAACAGACGTTTTTGTTAATTTGATAACAACGAGATGGAAAGAAGACCATTTACTTTCTTCGTTTTCGTCTCGTATTTTAGATATAATATTATGTTTTACTGTATAACGGTGGCACGTAGGTGATAGGTAGGTTATAACACTAGTTAGCTATGTATATAATATTTGCGAAGAGTATATTAAGTATATCGAACGATAGGTCGCAGTGTCCCGTGAAGCGTGTATAATATTCTATATTGACTCGAGTTGGCGGTGTCTCGCGTTGGCTTGCGGTAAAAACGAACCCGTATTTCATCGATTTTTTTATTCCATTTAGGTCTTCACCGTCGTTTAATTGTGGTCGAAGCAAAAAGTTGTCAGGATTAGCGCTAGAAATTAAAAAAAAAAATTTAATTGTATAGAAAACGCTCGCTCGTATGCGCGTTCTCTTTAAACATATACAGTTGCACAGTTATGTATTGTAAACTTCTATATGTTCCATATTATACGCAAAGAAAGCTTTTTACAATAATAATAATTATAGACTGCGTTATTCTTCTTTATATCAACAGATAATGATATACAATATCATAGTCATATAATACTAACTTCCTGAAAACGGTTCTACCTTTTTGTAGACATGTTTGTACTGTGTGCGTTGCCTTCTTTTCTATACTATAGTGCCTATTATAGTAAATATATTTTTCGAATTGAGATTCAAAATTGCATTTCTTTTTCTATAATGCTGTGCGCGCCGGAGAAAGGCAAATCGTCAATGATGTATCTCGGTGTCTTTAATTCGAAAATAATAAAGCAAATCAAACGAGTTTGAGAACTTAACCGCCGTGTAATGTAATAATGCTTTTCCTGGGTAGATACTTAATATACTAAATATGTTATTATGTGTTACATGCATAGGTAGATTAAATGTTACGATTTTGATAACCTACATATTACTGAAATTATATCACCATCGCAGAAATGTTACATAGGTGTAGGTTATTCTCGTAAACTATATTGCCTTCAGCGCAGTGGTACATACGTAAAACGGTTATGTACGGAATAAATAAATCATTTGTGGTCATTGGAGTTAAGATACTCACCACAATAACATTTCGATCCTGACGTTCAAACGATTTAAGTATCGTTTGGCAGACTAGCAGAATTCCGAGTATTGCATTAAATATAATAATAAATTGTGGTACTGTCGAGGTCAAAAGTTGTGTTCGATTTACCGTGTACAATAGCATAGCATAAAAAATCTCGACGTGTATAGAGATTCGACCTGACGTGATGATGACGATATTGGTAGCTGCTGTAACGGTACACTGTCATCGGATAGCGAGCAATCGTATACAATTCGGGAATTGCCAGAGTGTATATACAGAGTGTAACAAAATTAGCTGAATTATTTAATTACTACCTAGTCGATACACATTTGTTTTAAATATTTAATTAAAAGTTATCTTATGATATTTGAATTAAAAAAAAAATGTTTTAAAATGTTGATAAAAATAAAATTAATTACAGACGTTAGTTACTTCTATCAGTTCTTTCTGTTACACCCTGTATATGATATAAAATCGAAATGATAATAACATTAATAACTACAGTCTACGGTAATAATAATAATAATTATTATAAAAAGGACAAAACCAATCGAAATCGTCTCGTAGATTATCTACGACGCTGGTTTCGCGCACAATAGACACGAATACGTGACGTATATAATACGATTTTAAACCCGCTATCTATGCTTATATTGTTGTGCATTGCATGGTGAATGGTGGTAGCGTTACGCCGTTGGTTGGTCCATGCTCATTGTTGACCTGATTATATTGTGTACACTTGATGGCCTGTAAGCGCTCACGGGGGGGTGGTAAAAACGGATATTTAGAATACCGTATTCTATATATTTTAACGTTGGTGGTATTTTTTTCTCATTATGTTATAGGCAGAACGTGACAGTCTGATTGACACGCACCACGAACTAGAAAAACAGCTGGTGACCCGGGACCTGGAACTGCACGAAAAAGAAGAAGAACTATTTCTGCAGCTAGAAAAGGTGATCCGGCTGGAAGAGGATTGCGAGAAATTGCGCAATGAAAAAGACAAGATGGTCAAGTGGAAGGATCGTCTGGAGCGCGAGAAAAACGAAGCGTACAGGCAGCTGCGGCTCCAGGCCGAATCTTCGGAGATCACTAGACGCAACTTGGAAAGAGCACGTTTGGACGCGTACAGGCAGTTTTCGGAAATCGCGGCCGAAAAAGACAATCTCGAAAAAGAGGTATGTATCTATATTATTTGCAGAAAACGTTTGACATAATATATTTATTAATACATTTTGTCGGTTTTTGTTTTTAGAACTCGAGGCTTAAGGAAGTATTGGAGGATCTCGGGAGGAAAGCCGACTTGTATCACACCAACAGCAGACAGGCAAGTCAAAAGGCCAAACGTGTATCTGGTCTGGAACGTGAAGTAAACGAACTGAAAGTGATGGCCAAACAGTCAGCCACCCTAAACAGTCAGCTGCAGAAAGGTATGAAACACTTGGCCACGTGCAGGCGCAAGAAGTGTTCCGTTTGTTCGTACACAAGAGCCACGTTCGGAGAGTACACATCTAGTAGACACGGGTAAGTCCAAACATTAATACTACTCCCAAAATTTGATCAGATCTGGTTCTTTTTTTATTTCACTTTGAAATAGTCAACAATTGTTTAAGCTGCGAGTTTACATTAAAAACTACCTTGTTTGTCCGTAGATCGTTCTTGATCCTTATTAATATACACACTATTTTAACCAGCCCCTATATTACATAATGTTAATCCATTTTTAATGCCTGTCAAAACCTACAGAGAGAAAACTTCTTCGAGGTTCATCGGAGGTTGTTTCCCGCTCGACGAGCTTCGCCGTTCCTCTGATCGGATGTCCACGTCTGACCTCGAACACGAGTGCGCTAAACTCGCCGAACGCCTGTCTGCTTGCTCGTTCCCACACACTCCACCGTCGACACCCGAACGGTCCGTGGCCAGTGGATCGCTGTCCCGGTTCGTATCGTACATCGACGACGCGTTCTCTTCGGCCAGCGACGACGACGACGTCTGCGGTGAGATCGGCGGGCGACCAGCCAAGTGCACCGGAAGCGGAAGCCGCCGTCAGTTTTCTTCCGATTCGGGAATCTCTTCGTCGTCGGCCACACCGACCGACCCGAACAAGTTAACTCCGGCCTGTGGTGGTGGCGGTCATCGCCCTTCGTCGACCACGTCGTTCAACCGCTCCGCCAAGTGGACTTCGTCGTTCAGAAAGCTCATCAGACGCGTGTCTTCCAAGAAGCACGTCGACGAGTCTCAGTAATGATAATAATAGTATAATATTATGTACACGCAACCAGAGAGGTTCGGAATAGTTTTCCATCAAAAATGTTATCTACATCACGTGTATTGTTATTTTTATTTTATTTTTAATTTTAATTAGTTTACTTCATCATTATTATTATTATTATAAATTTGGGGGAAGTTATTACTGTCGATATACTTTACTAGTGTGTCGGATGTCTCATTTATTATTACTGGGGGGATGGGGGGTTGGCCAAAAGACGTGCCTGTTCTTTCGAAAATTATTTTTGGGAAATTTTATCGACGCCGTCGTTGTTCACTCAGATGTTGTTTGCGCTACTTACACAAAGTCTGTCATCATAGATGCATAATATATAATATTATATTGGTAGACTAGCCAGTAATTACGTAGAGGTAGGTACTGAAGTCTTGATTTTTCGTAGTGACGTACCCACGTTACAATATTTTAATATACTTTTCTCGCTATATTTCATTGTTTTTATTACGATTTTTAATTTTATTTTTTAACTTACGATAATTGCAGTATTAATATATTTAGTTTATCATATCGTTAATATTCAAGAAAACTCATCATTCCTACTTAACGATATTATGTTATTCCTATGTATATCTTTAATAATGAATAATGAATTCTTCAATTTTTTTTTATTTATTAATTCTATACGCTTACTTGTTGTTTAACAATATTTTATTTATGGAAGTGTTGCATTTATATTATATTAGGATAATCTATTAAGAAAATGTTTATATACTGACGGGGATCAGGAGTATAACGAATGTTTGTTAAAAAGACATTAAAATAAGTATTAGTGTATTAATGGTCCTATATACAAAAGATCTAATGGTTAATTTAATAATTAATATATTTTACTGTAGGTTATTTTGTTTTTTTTAGACCAATAACGTTATTTGCCTTAGGCTTTACTTTTAAAAATAAACATTTTTACTGTCGTTGAAAGATATACCTACTAAATATTATTGTAATTTAATAATGTTTAGTTTTCTTTTTTTATCATGTAAACAAAAAATATTGCTAATGTGTTGTATACTGTATACCTGTTCGTTGTATAATTAAAATTAATATGAATATATCAAACAGATTTGAAAGCAATAGAAAACTGTATTGTCTCTTGCAAGCGTACACTATAACGCTTCGAATATAATGGATTCGCGACCTCTTTTTAGGTACACGCCTAAAACGGACAAATAATCAAAAGCGCAATGAAAATATTTTCACGCGTGACAATGATTCTTGCGAGAGTCGTCACCGGTGGGGCGTAGTATCCGCTGAGCTCGGAAAAAATATTTCGTTCAATAACAATTAAAACTGCAGAATTATCATTATAATGGTGTGCAGTGTTACTCGATAATACTATAGAGCACGTATCCAATGGCCGGCGGCTGTGACAACGAAACAAGTCATCAGTTCGTCGATATTGTAAACAACGATGATGTATGTGTTGAATGTTTTTGGCATAATATCAACAACAATCAACTGGAAAAAAGTAAGTGTCTATACGTGTCTACTTTATTGGTCAACTAAGTATTGTATGGGGTTTTGAATCTAAACGAATTCAGTCGTCTTTCTACAATTTATACATGCTTCAAAATCGTAGGTTATTAGTCTGTCATTGAATTTTACATGTTGTATTTCTTAACTATTGAGTTTTACATTATAGAAGGTATAAATTAAAATATTTACGATTTTTTCTATAATATTATTGGTACTTAAAAATTTGATTATTTTCGTAGTTTGGTCTTCGGTTAGCGCTTCTGCTATACTGAGTGGTTCAGGTCTGTGAATGTTAAGGTAGATTGTGGACACTCCTCCATGAATCCACTATGTGTTAGATTGTAAGTACTTTATGGCATGTGTAGCATATTGGTCGAGGCTCTTTACTAGTTAAACATGAATGTGAGAATATGTATAGTAGAAGGAGTGTCCTATTATACTGATGCGAGTGTTTACGATAACTTGTCAACTGAAAGAAGTAGCAGTATGCTATTTTTTGATAGTTTTTTAAATATTTTTGAGTTTGTTAGATGTTGTAGGTATTGAATTCCAGTGATTTCATAAAGATGAGAGGATTTATTTATTAATAGAGTTTTCAATGTCTTTCGTAGGTATGCGTTATTTATTATTGGATTTGAAATTGTTTTCGTTACATGATCAGCATGTTAGCTGCTTTTTCGTTTTCTACAATACCAATGTGAGATGGTACCTTCATGAATTCAATGTTTTTTAAATTCGCATTTCATATCGTGAAAATCTGTAATTTTTTTTTGTCAACAATATTATGACGTATCTTGTTGAACAAAATTCGTCGACTACGACCGTAGTAGTCCGTTGTTTGATGATACGAGTGTGAAATAACAATCGACGGACGACATTATTCTGTCAGGTTTTTTGTGGTATTTGTCAACTTATGATGAATTTTAATCGTACTCCATCGTATTTTTCGTACGAGTATACGTACACTTTGGCAAATCGTATGGGTTTCACTTACTTGTTTTCATTAATATTTATTTGTACCGTTTAGCGAGATTATTAATTGGAAAGAAAAAATAAATGAAATTACCGCGCACGTGGCTCGTATGCATGTGACGTGCGATTGGCGGATGTGTAAAATATGTATAAAATATATAAAAATTATATCAAAAAAATTCAAGTATCTTATTTAGATGAACATCTCGAATAGTGGCATATATTTAGGAATTTTTCATTGGATGGTTCAGAAAGACTTAACCCTAAAGGACTGGTTTTGGAACCCCAAAACCTACCAATAACAGGAATTGGAACCGAATTTAAATATTTTCAAACAATAAATATCAAGTTTTACGTTTATTAATTTTGATTTTACATCCTTTATAATTTTTTTCTGTTCTAAGGAGTTATATAAATTTTGCTTAGAGCCATTTATTTTTAGGAAAATCTGAATATTTAAATGACTATGTTTTATTTTTATATAAATATTAAACAATTTATATTATTATTTTATTTAGGTACAAAAATTAAACAAATACTAAAGTGTGCATTGAAAAAATAAATAAATTGCATCCATCTAATACTGGTTTGAACTGGAACCCTAAAATCAATAAAAATTCACTTAAATATACAATTAATATATAGTTGTATTGGATATCAATTACGGGAAAAGTGTTCGGACCCAAGAACCTTTGAAAACAGACATTAATTTACAAGTAATAATCACGTATAATAGTGATCAATCAGTGCATTTTAGTTTAAACATGATTGTTGCTTTTTCGATGTATAATTTATTTATTTTGACATTTTAATTTTGGATACTTATTTGGAATGTTTAATTTGTTTATATTTAAATACGAAGCAGATCTAGTTATATTTTAAAAATCATCTTATTTTATTATATTAATCTAGTAAACTATCTTAATCAATTTATTGTTAATTAAAACTGTCTAATTAGAATATGTGTCGTATTAAGTGGCCCTTAAATAGTTGTTCGTTTCTCTGTATATTTAGTTTATTCTTGACATTTTTTTTAATTTGAATATTTACAATCGGTGGTCCGCGGCACAGTAAGTAAATGGTACATAAATAAAATGTTATGAACTTATGTAGAAGAATTTCTAACTTGACCTCGTTATTAGTTTTCGGTTTTAATACAAACAAAATACGCTGGCTAATATGTTATTGTATTTCAAAAGACTGCTGTCAACTAGAGTTGGTAATAATATTCAACTTTGGTTGTGTATATTATACCTAACTAGCCTTGTGTTATACGTGTTTTTGATCTCTGTATTATATATTCATAAGTAAATATTCACGATGGACATTCAGATTGATTCTTATAACAACCATTTCACTCTAAAAATGTTGCTGACTAACAACATAAACGGGGTAATTAACTGGTTACAGAATTCTGCCAATTTTGGGCCGGCCCGACAAGACGGGACACCCGTCAACCGGATGATAGTAACAAGATCGTGGTTTGACGTTTACGCCACGACAGGACTTGGCAAAACCGAATCCGTACGAACAGAGTAATCTCATAATTTTTTAGGTTGGGGGAAAATTCGAATAAAAATTGAAGGATATTGGCACGACGTGGTGCGTGCGATAATATAATACTCCTCTGTTATAATATAATATTATAACTTATATATATAGGCGTCTAAAATGGACTGTTTGATCCAAATCACGCAGCTGATGAAAGAAAATCTAGGTATTTCGCGCTTGGGTTCTCACAAATTGCCAACAGACACGAAATGTTTCGACGATTTACCGAATGCTATCTACGTGGCAGAGAATTCGTCCATGGTATGTATATAAGTCTCCGCGATCGACCACTATTGCCACCCCCTATAAGCTATTATGCTCGTTCTACGGATCGAAACATTATTATTATTATGTTTATTAACATTGGATTAATATTTATTAAAAAAAACAATGGGTATGTCTGTCCTGTATTCGAAATTGTAACGGGTTGAAACATAACGTTTTTAGGGGGAAATTGTTATAACCGTTTATATTATTATTATATCATTTTTATTTTTTGTTTTCCCTGGAATAATACTTACACAGTTTCCGAGGGAACAAATTGAGAAACTCGGTGTCTTAGGATACTTATTAGACACGGGCAACTCGAAACCGCCCTTAGAAATGCTTTATGATATTTCTAACATATTGATAACGCGGCCAAGAGGAAACGTGACGATCAAAAACGGTATACATATTTACAAGCATTACGTGAACTCGTACTGTTCGACGGGACTGGGGCTGACTGTAGAAGTGCGTATAAAAGACGTGATTAATAAATAATAACTTATAAGTACCCAATTATATAATTAAAAATAAGTTATGGGCTCTTGAACCAACAAACTTTGAATTCTAGATATTATTGAACAATTCGAATTTCTAGAAAATATAAAATTGGTTTGTTCGTTTTTTTTTTAATAGCTCGACCATAATCTAATTCGAAAAATTCAATTATAATATGTTAGAAGATTAATTTATAATGTTTTCTGTTGAATGTACTGTTTACTTTTACTAGCAACTGCCAAGTTTATTTCACTGCTATAATATTTTAAAATTTATTGAATTCTTAAAAGTTCAAATTAGTTCGAAAAAATATGAAGTTTTTATTCGAGTTTGTGAAAATTTAAGTTCGACTCGTTCAAAATATAAATATACGAATACAGAACACATAAAATATTCAAGTGTATATTAGACATAAAACACTACTGCAAATATGAAATGAATTTTAAATTTGAAAGAAAAATTATGAATAATAATGAAAAGTGTTTATATTTTGAAGTAATTACTCAAATTTATTTTCTAAATCATATTAGTATACTATTAATAATTTATAAAACAGTATATTTTGACAGAATAAGTATTGTGCTTATGTAGGTAAGTAGGTAAATACTTGTACTTGTAAGTTTTAATCGTAACTTATAAATAGTATAATTTATAATGAATATTATGCGATCGATATCGGCTATCAGCTGTTTTTAATATGTTTCTCTAATTTTGTTCTGTTATTATAAATCAGACTCTTAAGTTCAATGCTGAATAACCTGCGGTTTATATACAACGATAAAAAAACAATAATTTGTCGTTCGTGTATCGTTTTCCTAATGATGCATCCTAATACAATGGATATTATAATTTAAATATTGATAACAGTATATACATAAAATTCTTATCTTCATATTCCCCAGTGTAATATCAAAAATTTCTTCGTATTCAATTTTGAAAGTTTATTGTTGTTCGAATGATTTGCAATACCTAGGTATTTACACTGAATTGTAGGTTATTTTTTTTTTTTTTTGCCACTTTTTGTATTTGCGTCGTATTTGACAATTTTTAAATGCATATTTCCGGGCTCTAATAATTACTCATGTGTATATGCTGCAGGATGCAAAAACGAGGTCCGCTGAGCAAATGCTAAACACACTGCAAAAACTATGCGGTTTCATACCTACGTTTAAATTACCGCCCATGAGTGATCCAGGAAATGACGGAATTGGACATAAAATGTGGTTGTGCGTAAGTCAAACCAATTTGTTCGATTATCATTGCATTCAGATTTGTACGTTTGTAACAGTAATTATTAACGTGCGCATAAATATGCACAAATTTTAACGCACGTAATATCGTCGGCTTAGTTCGTACAAAACGGTTCGTACTATAACAAAGCTTCTGAACAAAAACTTAGATCAATCGTAAGCGTAATATCATAATCATAATCGTATATTTTAATAATAATATCTGATATTATTCACGTACAACAAAAAACGATGGATACACTTTGGATCGTTATTCAAACCATACTTACTGAACAGCAGCAGTTGCAGCAGTTAATCGCTTGTCCATTTTTTTTTATTCCGTCGTAGTTGCCACCCGATGACCAGTACAAAATAAAACTGATCAAATACTTTATGGATTCGCCCAACGTGCCGCACACCGTGCAGCTCAACGAACTCGCTGCCATGTTGAAAGTGGTCGTGAGATACTCGGACTCGGGGTCCAACGGCAGACCCGGGGTGGCTTGCGAATTAGGACCTCACGTCACGGTCGGCGTGGGTTCTTCAAAAATGGTACTTTTGATGTATAGTTATTCAGTAATAACACTGATAACGATTAATGACCATCACACGCGCGTTTCTGCAGATAAGCGTGTACAGAGCACGGTCGGCAATGTTGAACAAGCTGAAACTGGAGTGTGGGTTCGTGCAATATCCACGACCGTTCGTGCCACTGGACTGCTTAGATCCTACGACGGCCGAAAACCGTGCGAAGAACTGCTATGGCGGACAAAACGTTTCCTTCCAGAGCTTACTGCAGCAGGGCGATCGCCTGTCCAACGAAGTGATTCCGGCCGAACCCTCCGAGTATAGAGCCACGACGGTATCCAATCGTGCAGAAACCACTGCGATCGTGCGTATCGTATATTATATATTTTGTATAGTTACTACAACGATGACGGTTGTATTACTAATATTACTATATATTATAATATATAGCAGGTTACCCCTGTTCGTGGTGTCATCTTTCAGAGGTTTTGTTTGGCCATGGTCCGATATAAATTTGATCTATACCTTAGAACAATGTAGATTTCTAATATTGAATGTATATTCTGCAAAGATTGTATCTGTCTTTATGTGGGAGCAGTACTGCTGTGGCGAATGTATTGGGGGGGGGGGAGGCATAGTAAAATTACCGGTCCTATAAAAACTTATGTCATATAATTATAACACCCCGACCCCTTCAAAAGTGTAGTTGTGGCATATAGTGAAAATAATCACTGTGCTGGTGTAACAGTTAAAGTGTGTACCTATTTTCTTCTTGAAGCTATTTATAAATAAATAAACTTAGAACACCATTTTACCGAATTCCGAATTATTACCTATTAGAGTCTGAACCTGATGATTGTATTTTGTTTTTAAATAGCGTCTATAGCCTATAATATTGCTTCAATCTTCAATTTTAAGGTTAGTTTATGGTCATTTGGATTGATTTATGTACAGCTGATCGAATTTCCCGGTTTGTTTGCTTTTTATTTACAAAACTTGATAATTAATATTATTAAGTTTTTTTTTAATAAGTCACATTATTCACACATATCACGGGAATATTTTAACGCCTAACTATAGGTACATATAATAATATGTATTCAATGCAAATTACAAATTATTAAAAATTTGAGCACAACCGAACATCTACGAATTTACAGCCGACCGTTGTAAACGCCTGAGAAACGATAGAAATCGTCGTGAGAGACGGCGTGATTTCGAGTGGTGCGTTTAACCCTAACCTCAGACCTGGTCACAATAACTACGGTCCTATCCGACCAAGGCGCGGCCATTGTGTGATTCGGGTCTCAACGGCAGAAGAATTAGACGACAATTTCGACCAAGAATTAGACTTGGAACAGTGAACGAAATTACTATGCATACAAGCGTCATGTTATTTATGTATTTATCAATTTGCCTTCGACCATGTTTAATGTGTACATATATTGTTACTGTGTTATTGCTTATTTTTACGATAAATATCATATTATATAATGTTTACAGTAAACATTACATGCGTTATTTTTATTATTATGAGCGTATAACTGTATAATAAGTTATATAACTAGACAAATGCGTGTTTTACTTTTTAACTTGGTTTACGACCAATGTATTATTTTTATTTAAATAACTTTATTTATTCGTTGTCTCTTCGAGCATAAAACACTATACCCTAATACCTATATTATAAACACTATACTTTTATGCTCGGTTATGCCAATTTAGTTGATCTGATTTTAACGATTAAATTTGATTAGGTACTTTAATCACACTTAAATACGATTAAACATTATTCGTGCCGTGGGCAATTATTATTTTGTCATTTTAAATTTGATGTGAGTATTATGATTAATAATAAATTAGTAAACATTAAAGATATACTTATATAGGTAATAGTCGATTTTAAAGGTCGTCAAATAAAACCAACAGCAGAGCGTGGTGATAATGTCAACTTATTTGAATTTTATAATAAAACGGTTAAATTTAAAACAATGTGAAATAAACGCAACTTCAAATCTGTTATAAAAATCCTGAAGCTGATTTTGTAAGTGATGTGTCTATAAATGTTTTTTCCTTCGACGAGTGTGCACGACGTATGTACATGAAAAAGACCAGCTGGTAAAATATATATTATATTACTCTCTACATTCGGCCGTGACCGTTTAACCATTTACGTTTTATTCACTATAATATAATAATACAAGACTCCGAACGTTGGTCTCATTGATGATCGATATATGTGTACTATTATTAATTATTATTATTATTATTATTATTATTATTTATTATATCATAATATTTATAGAAACTTTAGAAACTATAAAGATATAGATTTTAAAGACCGACCGCCCGAGGAACCGACTAGGTTGTGGTCGGTGTAAAGTGTAACTGGTGTAACTTACACAAAGTGCGATAATAATATATTACATAAATTATTAACGTAACTATTATACATTTATAGCATATCTATTATTATGATCACGATGTTAATAAGTCCAATACTTATGAACAAATAAATATGTAGATATAAAATATAGCACCTGACACAGTCCAGTCACAGAACTCCAGATCAATAAACGTCTTGAAGTTTCGTCCATATTAAACGACCATATTTGGTCCTTAGGATGGTCTGGTCGGTTTGTTTCATCGTAGTCTTACGCGCATGTGTACAACAACGCAGCGATCATAAATTGAAAACAATTTTAAATCCAAACAACTAACAAGTATACATAAATACATAATTCACACTCTGAGTTAACTCGTAACTTCCTCGTTTACATGACGTGCACATCATTTATCAAATGAATCGTAGGTATAATCAGCAACAAGCGTCCATTAAACATTTAAACATTTAATAGCTATGTGTGGAAAAATTAAAACCATTACTAGAACGGTACGCGCCTCGACAACACGTGATAAAGTAATTGATGAAATGCATAATATATAATTGTATATAGTGTACATAATATATATATATAAACATATATGTATACGAGTCTTATTACGAGTCTCAAATGATTGGGACATTTGGTTAACCGATGAAGGCGAAGACAATTCGAACGTCTCACATAATATATTGTAATGAAGTACAGATAAAAGGGACCACATAAATATTTAATGGACATCAATGGGTTTAATTATTACTATTTAGTATGTACTCTAAGGAAAATCTAGAACCGTTGTGCATATCGTTTTGAACTCAAGAAAATCTATTTTACCCTTTTACACAATATTTTCTTTAAAACATTAATTCGTTTAGTTGTATCAAATAATGCACTTGGATTTATAATAACCGTTCGTCAAAAAAAATTTAATTTGATTTTAAACTAGATATATTACTACCAATTAGGTACTTAGCTGTACAAATGTAATAAAGGTCGTCATCAAAACACTATTGGAACTTAGTCGTGTGCGTTAAAAGTAAAACTTAACATTGTAGTCAGACAGCTTAAATATTATAATATGACACATCCAAAAATGTGATTTATTTGAATCAATTGTTAAGTTTTGTCCGAGAACAACTCGTCTTCGTGTGTAATATAATTTGTATAATTGTTTAGGTATAGTATTTGTTTGTGTGTGTTATTATTATTGTGTTTTTGTGAAATTGACATTGCATCATATTATCACATCATTATCGTCAAATGAACAGAAGAAAGGAAACCGAGTGACTTTTTGATAAAAATACTGAACTTGCTACACTTTAAATTACATGGTATACTTTATTATAATTGTAATAACAAATACTAGTGTTATGATTGCAACTCTGAGAACATTGTAGGACTCATTCAAAGTATAAGTACCCACAAAATATTTGTAGAATTAATTGAACTAATAATATTAATGACTAAAGTGCAAATAAAACAATGAGTTGATTGAACTATTAAAAAGTAATTTACATACCTACATAGATTTTGTCAATGTGAAATCGCTGAAATATTAGAAACTTTTATATCGTTATCCACCTATATTTTATGTTATTATTACCTTTATGTATTAATTATTATATTTTGGTGGGGGCGGTAGCAAGGTGGCATTTTCCCCTGTCTGGTTTTAAAAGCATCCCGGTGGGCTGGTTCCCGGTTCTTGCCTTTTTACCATTATTATATTTTAACAGCTACACACATGCCTATTTTTATAATATTTTGAGAAAACATTACAGGTTTCGAGTACCAACTAAGAAAATATTGTATGAAATCTGAAATCACAATTATAAATTGGTAATTAATAATAATTAATAGTTGGACCATATTTATATTTAGAATATTTAGATGCATGCGGGAACGAGCATACGTGTGGTTGCGTGTATTTTGTAAAGGAAAAGAAACATAATATTGTAACAAATAACGATATGAAGAACAATAATAATAATATCATAATCCCATATCTAAAATCTAAAATTACACTTCTACAGAGTTTTAATTTGTATGTAGAATAATTGTTTTTATAAAATATCTGCTACCTTGTATTTGCAAATGATGTTACTTAGTTAATCCATGAGTATGAGGTATGAACAAATTTAGATAACCAGTTAAATAAAACGACCACTTAGTGATATAACTCATCACCGCCGTTCAATGTTCAAGATCGATCGTAATAGTGATAATATTAATTTATTTTCCAAGGCATGTGTTTCTATTTTTACTTATAACAAATTAAAACCTATCAATATGTATTCTTGAATACCAATGTAATTATATGAACCAAATTCATAACCAAAGCCGATACTGTATTTTTTTTAAAGAACCTTATTGAAACCGAATAAAGATTCCAAGCCCGGAATTGAATATGTACTTTTTTAAATTTAAATAGATCGATCATAATTCTTGAAGTGTATTAATTATATTACGTTAATAAAAACTGTGAATAGAATTTTTATTTTTTAAAAATGGTTTTGTTTGGGATACCTAAAAATCATAAACTCTTTTTAATCGATAATTTAACAATCTAACGCGTAATTCCAAACAATTTCATGGTGCTTACTATTTCTAGGTACTTAAATCCTTCAGTTCGCAGGGTGCAGCGATATTATGGTGTGGAAACGATACAATAAAACAATTCAATAAATTTCGACTGGCTACAAAAGCGTTGCTAATGTCGACTCGCTCATAAACTATTTATGATGGGCCAGACCACAACATCAATTGCATTGTATATTTTCCAAAGTGTGTTTTACTGCAGAGTAAATTCGAAATAAAATTTTGAAATCAAACGCAAAATGGTGGATTTTGACATCAAGTCGCAACTGGATCTACTTAACGGTAAGAATTACATAGCGCGTATATTATGGTAGAGCTTGTTGCGATTAATAATCGAAAATTAATAACTTATAATGACACTGATGACTTATACCGTTAACGTAAAGACACAAAGTCCGGCATTTGTTATTCCACAATGTTTCCCTTACGATAATTAATAATAACTTAAACGTCTCCGCGTCTCATCCCGTATTTCCGTGTATTACGATTTACGAATAATACAGTCGACTTGATTAACTCGGAATTGAAAGACCGGCCAAAATATCGTAATATAATAATATTATATAATATATAATATATTATTATATTATTATATATATTATATTATCATAATATTCTATCTAAGGATAATAATAAAAAATTCTGGGGACGGGTAAAAAGTTCGAGGTATCAACGATTTCGAATAAAAAATGTTCGAGTTCACAAAGTTCACACAAGTTCGACTGTAAAACATTGAATATCGTACGGTTTACGGTTTACGCGCCACGCGAGAGAGCTGCAGTAGCTCTGCCGAGACGAAAAAAATATGAACACGCTTTCTACGACCCTGGTACCGGAACGGTTTACTTCCAATGGGTACCAATGGATTAGGACGCTGTTTTTCACGATCGGCATTTACGTTGTTTTTTCGCAGAATACTTGGACAGAGAGATGGAAGCCGTCAAAACCGAGTATTTCGTCGTCAAACCAAATGGCAGGGGAAGCGGCGGCAATCGTCCGGTGAGTTGCAACACTGCACGTTACTAGCACCTAACTATAAGTATAAAATACATCAAAAATAATTTTGTCGCCGAGCTTTTTCCGGAACAGTATACGCCTTGTGTTGTATTACGATGGTTATAAAATTACCGCAGTCTTATTGTCGTCGACCCTCGGATGGAAATTTCGAGAGCTATATTACGATATTATAATTTATAATGTACAAAATTGTAACGTAAGAATTTTAATAGTTTAATCTAAGGTCAGTGAAACTAATGAAACTTTCAAACAATAATAATTATTGAGGTTTCGATTATTTTTATTATTTTTACTCACTAGTCATTACGGTTGAATAATATAGTAGTTAAAATATTCATAATACTTATAAGGTATAACTAGTAAATAGATTTTATATATTGTAATAAAATACAAAATTATAGAAGTGTAATTTAAAGAATATAGAATGGGAAAAAACATCAAAATATGTGGAAAAAGATTTAAATTTATTGTAAATACCTATAAAAAATTTACTGAAATAATAATAAATTGTATGTATAAAAAAATAGGAAACAAAATGCAAAATAATATTACGACCTGGAAACATTAAATTTGGAAAAGTTCTCATTCGAATGCAATGTACTGTGTATCACATAATTAATATATGAGTTCTTTTAAATGATTGGATGACAATGTTGCTTATTATAGGTACCCTTAACTTCCATTATTAAGTAATCACGAACTACGCCCATTATTTTTATAAACAAAACAAATATAGAATATTCGTCAACGCCAATTAATGATATTTCCCAAATTTGCACCTTTTTGACATATAATTTTGTATAGTTTTTTTTCTGTTTCCTTTTATTCTATATCTGAACTATTGCCTTTGTTTACTTATATGTTATAAATGTAAACGCAAACTGTATATTTCAATTCTTTTATGTGTAATAGAGCTCAGTCCGTAAAATATAATAAATAAATAAATATTTCATATTACGTATTTGTATCTATCTATATTGGTTTTATTTTTGCGTTTAGTGTTTGTATTGTTCTCGTACGATATCAATTAAAGCTTGGCGAAATCTGATGGGAAGCTCGTTAACGCGACATACTAAGAAACAATTTTAAGACTTTTTTATTTCTATTTTCATAGATGTGAATATGTAATATATTAATATAATATTGAATCAGTCTTATCGGAACTGTCAATTTTCTATACATAGAAAAAAAGAATCATTTTCGAGTAAAGTTTTTAAAATGTATGTATATTATAATACTACTATCGTTGAGTATATTGTATTGCAACTATTCGTAATATCTATTGACTTTTACGGGATCATTTAAAATCGATTAAAAACGTCCATATCATAATGCACTCAATGACATGGATTTATATATGATTTCGTTTTGTTAATGGCATTTTCGACATACCTGCACGGAGAATACGCACGACATATAGTATTCTTAGACTGTTTATAGTGTCCGTATAAGAAATACCTCCGATAAATCTTGCCACATCATACTACTTAAGTGCGTTCCGAAGTGAGTCACTATTTTAATGCATATTAGAACATCAATCGAGTACTTAATTTTTAACGACAGCGAAATAAGTAATTAACTATTTTTTTTTATCCTAACATTTGTGAGAATATTTTAGGCCGTAATAAAATAAAATTTCTAAATTCCAAATCGTACATTCGCGTGACCTAACCTGAGAGCCTGGGACAACTTATACAAATTAAACAGGTGAAAATCCTACACATTGTGTAACCGATACATTGATTTATATATTGTAAACTATTTATAAAATGAACGAAAAGATTTAAATAAGAGAAACACGAGTCACTTACAGTTCAATATTCTCGGATCTATGCAATGCATACATGCGTTAGTTAAATCTGTATTTATAATTTTAATTAAATGTTCCTATAGTAAAAATCGGAGAATAAACAATATAATAATATTATCAATTTTTACTTAAAATACCTTATAATAATATGAACAAAGCTGCATACAATACACACATAACGATAAAATAGTTACCAATAATATTTCATGAATTAATATGAATTAAACAGGTATACTATACATTTCAAAAATGTATCACCTTCAGTTAAAATCGTACTGTAGAGGAAAGGAAGTAACTGATTATATATTACATAATACTTACCGAGGCCGGGCCGCCGATATAAGAGATTAAGATAAGATAAAAATACTACACGGCCCTGATACAATACCTATTATGCTTTATGAATACCTGCATGATTCAATTTGTGTTAGTAATTGTCAATCGTTGATAAGGATTATGAAGTTACTATGTTCAAATCTTCGACACTTAGAACTTCCTTCGTATTTGTATGTAATTTGAGGAAGTCCGTATTAGGCACTTCTAAGTCCTAGTCCATTAGAAGCCTCTATCCGGGCGGAAATAGGAACAGCGATAGGGTTTGTGTCGTCTAAAAATAGAATAAAACATTTTAGAGCGTTTATCGATTGTGAAACAGGCGCACCATGTGTTTCAGACGATCGTCAATGGAAACGCGTCGACGAGCAGTGCAGATGGATCGCCCTACGGCTGTGCTTTGGATCGTCAGCTGCCGCCATCCCGACTATGCTCATGGGATGCGTACAGAAGCAACAGCGTGTCATTTCCACAGACGGCCACCAAGAAAAGGAGCAAAGCCATAGACATCATCGACCCGGAGACCGGCGAAAGAGTACAACTATGAATGGATGTCGAAAAGAAACTTACCTCTGCTTGCCCAAAGCGCGTTTGTAATCGCGCATGTCATTGACTTGTTATCACATTTTGCGTTCAATAAAGAAAATTATCATTTTATTCAACATGCTATACTATTGACGCGTCGTACACTATTATTGACGTTTTTATCGGAAGGTCCTCGTCGTCGTATTCGTATTAAAATATAAATAAATGAAAATGTCTGTAATACGGCGTGTTGCATAGGCAATTTCGCTACACCCGTACGCCGTCGTTACGATTCTGATGCAAACGTATGGGCGACGAATGGAGTTTTCCGGATTTAATTATTTGAAAAGCACAAGGCGAAAGTATGGGCTATTGAAGAGATTACAGTTTTCTAGTGCAATTAATAGAAGAGAGTGAGAAATAGAGTATACTAACTATTCATTTATAAGGTGTTTAAAACTTAGCCAGCTCCGATATTGGATTGAATACCTATCATTATTGTTGGGCGGCATGCTTTTGATTTGCATCTGTCTCCATTATAATATTATTGCACTTGTACAGTACTCAAACATAAATCAAATACATTTTAAATATTACGACTGTTTATCATTTTAAGCTGAAGCACATAACCAATAGACAATACCAATCACTTATGGTAGTCCTTTGTATATCAATGCTAGATAGTTATACCTAATAACATTGAGTACTTCATGGAAATGGATAAAGAGCAGATGTCAAGTGTCAGTAACCGTTGTTTAAATAGCAATAATATAGCATAATATTAACGTATCATTCACATTTATCAGATTTAATTTATAAAAGAAGAAAACATGAAAATCAAATTAACAAATACTTCATAGACTATTATGCATATTAGCCTATTACTAATAAAATGTAAAACTTATCATTACACTCTATCCATCCTGTCAGATGAAAGCTGGAAAACCTTTCTATTATTAAAAATTGAAAATGATTTACTTAGTACCGTTAATATATTGATGAGATAATAAAGTTAATATAATAATATTATGAATATAATATAATACATTACTTAAGCTCACAAAAATCTTGAAAAAGGAGTTTAAAATAACATATTTAAATTATGAGTACATATATTTTCCATTCTAACACAATATGTGTTTTTAAGCAATAGTTTAAGAGGTGGCAGCTTTTGCGTTTTTGCATCAAATCAAAATAATATGTTTCTGTATTTCTGGACACTATTTGTTTCAACTTCTATAAAAATTGGCACTCTAAAATCACCAAAAAGAAAAACGTATAAAAGCAAGTGGTATATCAATATTAATACTTATTTTTTATTTGATATTTGTTAATCTATGCATTTATCGGCTAACAAGATTAATGAAATTGAATTAAGTAAAATTAGAGAATTGTAATATAACTTAATGATACTTTTTAATATTTAAAACTTACAGTTTTTGTAGAATAAAAATCATTATCAGTAGATAAATATTTGTTTAAATATTATATCTTCAGAAATACTAAAATGTCTACAGCAAATATAAGCTATAAAGATCTCTCAACCATATAGGTCCAAACTACTTATAAGTATAGGAAAAATATTATAATTGAAAATGCTCATACCTCATAGAAAACTTGACAACTACACTATGTTTTATAATAGGTCAATTCAGCAATTAATTTTAATATTAAAAGTAATTACACAATATTTCCATGTATGAGCCAACATCCTCTTGAACCAAAATATTATTTTTTAGAAAAAAATGCACAACTTCAATAATATACAATAGTACAACGGATCAGATTACCAAAAATTATAATTTATTACGAACACGTGTTCAAAATATGCAAATCTCAATACTGAATCAGTTCAAATTTACCGAGTAGGATTATTGTAGTGATATTTTACAACGAAACAATAGTACTAATAATACTTAAAATGTAATATATTATATTGATTTTATGAGTAGGTATGTGTCCACACAGTCATAAATTATAATTTACTAAAATAGTAGGTAAAAACAAAAATGTTAAGACGTCAAGTGTGATTCATTATCATCTGGGTGTAAAAACTCTATTGCTAATGTTTAGTTTTCAGATAGCACTTATATGATGATAGGTATTTAAATGAACAATGAGAATTAGGAAATTTGTAAAATTTACTCGTCTGCATATCTGGTATGACCTCGATTTACCATTAAACTAGACAAACATTCAGGTGCACTTATCGCATATACAGAAAAAACATATTAATATTGTTTTTATAGTGTTTATTTACACAATGTTTTAAAAAATCTTAATGTATAGTATTTAAAAATAATCAGCTTTACTATGGACGCATATTTGCCCGAACATAACAATGTTATTGCAATATTAACAAAAATATTATTATTATTTATTACTAATAGAGTCTCAGTCACTAAATCAAACTTACAATAGAATGTGGTTCTTACAACAAAAGATTTCAGCAACTGCACATAACATTGTTTTATTTTTTTAATTATGATGTATATTATTTAGAGATTATTATTATAATATAAAACTATGCATAACACCATCTAAACAGTATTTAATATTCATTAAGTTTAACATTATTATTATAATTTATTGTCTAAAGGCACTATAAAATCGGTATTTTGTATAAAAATAAAATATTGCCACTGTTCAAAATGATAACTGCGTGCTAACAACGCATTTAATATTATTATTCTTTTACAAAAAAAAATCAAAATAATTGAGCTACTCTCGCCCTATATTTTAGTGTCAAACGACTACACACGGCGGAGGAAAACATCGGAACAATCATTGAAAAAAAAAAATTTCGTAACAATAAAAAAGATTCTTCGAGAAAAATGCGAGCGGGAAATATATAGTGGTATAATTATTGTCCCTTCCGAGTTCCGGTGAATAAAAAGAACAATATTTGATCGAATCGGTCGCGAATTCCGTTTTCGATCTGTACGTGAGAAGTAGGGTATTTCTCACTACCGAGTACTATAACTGCGTTACGACTGCCATGTCCGGAGACTTTTAAGGATACAAAATTACTTGGCGAAACGTAAACCTCGCCGAAACGACGACGACCCTGTGAACACGCGCGCGGTTTACGTTCGCGCAAAATTTAAATACTTAAAAAAAAAAAATTAAATAAACTGAGATAAACATAATAATATCATACGCTCACGTCGTCGTAATAATAATAATAATAATAATAATAGTAAAATATTACGGGCACGGTCGGTAAATATGTTTTTTCGTTACATGTAGGGAATAACTTAATAGGCTAAGATAATATTAATAATATTATATTATGGTGTTAGCGCTACAACTTCCGGGCGATGTCCTGCAGGCTGATGTACGTGCCCAGCACCAGGGCCAGGATGCCGATGATGATCAATATGATGTCCTTGATGAGTACGTAATTGAAGCGGCCGAAGTTGCGTTCGGGCCACAGGACGCAGATCTCGATGAGCGCCGGGAACCCGATGCCCAACACGGACAGGCACAGGGCGCCGAACAGCGATATGAACAGCTCCAACAACGGAATGGCGACGGCCAACAGGACTGCAGACATTGGACCAATAATGGTGTTATTAGGTGTGTTACGGTTTACGTTTGTGTTAATAATATAGTTGTTTCGATTCAAGGGCGCAGTCTTAAGGTGCCATCTGAGATAGTCAGTTTTTTTTTTCAGTGGGTAAGTGTTTATATACTTAGTTGATATTATTTGTAACTGTGAATTTTAAATTATTTTAACTACAACAGTTAGTTAAAAGTAAACGCACACTATAAAACTGAACGAGTTAAAAAACAATTATTATTATACCCACACATTAAATCATCTTTTTACGTTTTATTATAGTTATATTTTTAAGGATAAAAATGCACCCCCCCCTACTTTGCAGCCATTGTCATCCATGAATCCCTGCCTAGAGTTTAAGTACATAAAATACCTATAACCTATATACTGCGTTATAAAATTCATATGGGTGCATCGAGAAAACGAACTGAAGGAATGTAAATAATGTGAACGTTTTCATGCTGTTGAAAGTCTGATAAAAATAGAAATTCGAATACTTTACAAAACCGTGTATTGCGATTGGGCCTCAAATATGTACGTTTATCTACCACCACAATAGATACTATCTAACCTAACTTACGGTGTAAGCAATATCGTCCTTTGAGCACACTTAGAGACTTGAGTAGTATTACTTTGTGCGCTTATATATCATATTAATGATGTTCGATTTTCTTTTCATCGTCACACGAATGAGCGTTTTTTTTTTTTAAGGCAGACTTTCTCAAAATAAAAAATACAATATAGTTTTAGTAATATCAATCATAAGCTTTACGCATTTTGATCCGTATCCGAGCCATCGAATTATTGAAAAAACGATATTATGCAATACAGCTTTATCGTTCGACTCCGAATTTTATAAGGAACATTTATTGAACTGAACTTACGTAGTCGAATGTTCGATGTACTGCGTATTTAAAGCTTAAGTTGTATTATTATAATGTTTTGGAGACTGTCAAGCTAGACATTTGGAAACAAAATATATTATGTTCCACACTTATAAGCCATTCGCGTGCTGGCAATCGGTATAAATAAAATAAAATATATATATTACTGTCGACAACATTTGGCACGAGTGAAGTTATTTCAAAGCGAACGTTTGGCAATTAACAATACTGAATACATACTGAAGGTATGAGTATTTTTTTCCGTGTCTTATCATTACATTATTATACAATTCTACATCATTATTTTAAACTGTTAACATAATACGCTCAGAACACAATCACGATATACGGCACTTGCCTGCATATAAAATATATTGTTAACAATTAAAAAATACTTTTGGGTCGGACCGAAACTAGAGATAAACGTTTCTTTCAATTGTTTAGATAAACACGTTCACGTTTACTGCAATATCGTGATGGAAAAAAAATGTTTATAAGATATGTAAAACATTTATGATGATTAAACTATAAACATGACAACATATAAAAGTCTATGTTTTTCGTGGTAAGTGTGGTTCAAAATTATTTATTTATTCATTTGATTTAAGGTATTTACATTTTCTCAGTCGATTTGATTTACAGGCGATGACGGGTGAGTTTGAAATAAATCCACCATGCCAAAAATTCATTTAAAATAATACTATAAATAGAAAACTCGATCTTGAAATAAACAGAGGTAACTATAGGTCAGTAGACTGTATAACTACAAATTATCAAATATTATAGCCTATAGGTACATTATATCCCAGTGTGGTCTATGCTATATTTGAGATTGATATGGGCATATGGCATAGTATATTAATATAATATGTAATATATACGAGATAAAATCAAACAAAAAACTGAACACTTTATTTAACGAGCGAGCTAGATGTAAAGTGAATATATTATACTCAAGCAACGGAGAGAAAATTATAAAGAGCAGAAGGCTAAATGCATCGAAGTCACGAAGATCTAGAAATCTTAGGAGTCTCAATGGAGAAGATCTATAATCTGCACAAGAAACATTGTGGAATCGGTGATGCGCCTAAATTAATTAAATATCAACTAACAATAATCGTAAAATTGATTAAAAAAAAATGTTTTATATTAAACTCTGTTAATTGGGTACATCTCGGTCAGTTATTTTTGTTACACCACGAATTAAATTACGTATACTAAATTATTTCCACCGAACAACTCGACAAGTCATATACATAACTTGATGATATATCCAAATTGACTCGATGTCAAAACGAACATTTGAAAAAAATATAATATATAATAGTTAACCACGGCAACATAAGTAATTGGGACAGTCATTTCGTTTATTATTATACTTACACGTGACGAGCACAACGGCGATACGGAGCAGATATTCCATAGTCGTCTTGTCCCAGTTTTGAACCCTCTTCTTCATGTACGTATTCCAGATGATATCCACCGGCACGTAAGCTTGGAGCGCGTACGTGATGAATATGGCGAACGCGAAGATGAGTTTGACCGCTTGCGAGAGTCTATGGAAAAAACAAAATTTGAATATGACTGTGTGAAATCATCCAACGGACAGCAGTACCCAGAATTGAGGCTGCTACGACTTTAATAATATTCAAGTCCGTCAGCCTGTTCAACAACCTCATCCCCAAGAGCTAATCCGAGAAATTTTTTAAACGAAATTATCTTTTTGCACGAGAAACCCATAAAAAACCGGAACACGGTTAGCAGTACCCGTTTTTATTTCATTTTACTTATTTTACACCTTCCCCTCCCCTCCTTCCATACACCACAATATTTGGTCAACTTAAATATCACATATATTGCATGCTCCGAAAGAATAGGTAAAATACTTTCAATACTTTTGATCGAAAAATGTCGATGAACAATATTAACATCATAACATCCTACATTCAAAGAATATTAATTAAAAAATAATCTGTGAACGAGTAACAAAACTTACATGTCTTCATTCGGTAGGTTAAGCGTGACGCTACCCTGTGCATTTTCGCCGTACTTGACGTACCCAAAGAAGCCCATCCCGACGTACATAATTGTGATGATGGTCATACCGACGTTAAGTACACCGGTTGTGCCACCGAAAGAAGCCGGGGTTTTCATATTGTTCTCCAGCGCCAGTACCTATATGATGTACAATTTACGCGTCATTATATTTATTACATATGATTATTACTGGTATATCGTTATTTTCGGCGGTCGAATGTTGAGGAGGGCGAGTAAAAATATAAACAATTGAACCTTTGATATTTGTTTTATTTGCGAACTTTGCATTGCACTTGTAAAATGTGATTAAACATGCAATAATGTCTACATAAAAACAAAGTCTTAAAAGCACCTATACAAACACGATATTATATGTACAGGCTACATCTACAAATATATATGACGATCAAACGATGACATGATTGATACTCCGGAGAGAAAACATTCGAACGCCGATTATTGTACATTATAATTTAATAGTATAAGATTATAAAACTTCCAAATCTGTTATCACGGTCAATCGGAAGCCGGAAACTTACCACACCGACGGCTTCCAACGCGAACAGGGTTGTGCCCACGAACAGGGTGTATTTTCTCGGTTCACCGATCAACGGTCTCGAAGATATGGGCGGCAGGTCGGTGAATATGTACCAGAGGACAATGGCGAGTCCGGCGAAAGTGATGATGTTGGCCATCTGCGAGAAGGGTGCTAACAGCTTCAAGTTTCTGATGAGAATGATGGCCACCAACGGGATCAGCATCATCAGCATGTAGTATCGCTCGTTCATCGGTTCAATGTAAATGTCCAACACCTGCGTAGCAGAGAAAAACGATTATCTCACGGAAACTTTTAGAATTTATTATGTTAGTAATCATGAATGTACGGATAATAAACATATAATTTTTCTGTCGCTACTCGCGTTCCAGAGTCGAATCCGGACCGATAATGACGTCGTCGTAATTTCACTATATAGGGGTGCCACTGATTGGTCATAACGTCATGATACACAAGCGCAGCAATAATAGCACACGATTAATTCATATCCGATTTCGTCTATATCAGAGAAACATTGTCGAGCAATAAGTTTGTTGTGTGGGGATGAAAATGTTTAGCTCATCCGGGTGGTGGCACACTTTTTTTCATTACGATTAAATATTTACTATTTATTAACTAATGATAATGTTTGTAACTTGTAACTCGCAACTGCATAATCACTTGAATGTAAAACCATTACGGAATAAGATTACAAAATATAAGTTAATGTAACATTAATTTATATTAAGGCATGGTGATCAGTGATCACTGATCAATATACGTTAATCGAATACAATTTGGTTATTTCTATAATCAAGATGCAGTGAACCACGAACTGTATAATTATTATTGTAATAATGTGATTGACAAAATATGACGAATCTTAACACGTGAACACAGTCTACGGTTATGCCAGGTTATTATTGGTGATAAAATGCACTTTTATTGTTTAGAATTGATTAATTAAAACAAAAACAGCCAACCCCCGCCCATGCTCAAAAAAAAAATTAAATTAAAATACATAGGTACACATACATCGACTTTGGAATCATAATTTTATGGTGAGATAGCTTAAATCTCGTGTAGCACCTTAGCTTAAAATGTCCAAATACGTCCCTTTGATTGACGTCACAAACTTTGCGCAAACGATAAATCTATATATTATGTATATGACAATCACTAACCTGTTTGATGCTGGTTCCGATGAACATGATGTACACGCAACATATTCCCAGTTGGTAGACGATCAAGAACCCATCAACGATAAGCCTGCACACAAACAAACAGTAATCCGTTATAATAAATTGCAAACGATGGTGCTGATACTACAAATACACAACTAAATAGTTATGTACCTGCATAATTAATGGGGTGATTTACAGTGTTTATTTTTAAACTTTTTAAAAGCCATAACGCGGCGGTCTATTTTGTTACGATAAAGGTCGCTTAGTGGTCTCTAAACGGCCCGCCAAGGTCGTAATAATGATGATTAAAACACGTAGGTAGGAAGTATGTCGTTACTGCGTTGCAATACATATATAGGCGGAAACTGAGAAATTAAAATTTTTTTTTTAAAAAATGATATGCATATTATGATGACCTAATAGTCTAACCAGTATACAATGTCACTCCACTCATTTATATTTCAGTTTCTTAATTTGTTTACGATAATTTTCAGATAAAAGCGCATATTTTTAAATATATTTTTTGTACGAAAATGTTCAATAGAAATGCATAGAATTGACTGAGTTTTATTATCTTTAACTGTGAGCACTTTAACGTTAGGAAATACTATAATTTAGTTTATATTATGTAATCATTTACACGTACCTACTATGTGGAATGTGCGTTCATAAAATATGATAGGTAATTTAATTTCAGAAAATTAAATAAAAACTGAAAAATAGTTGTCAACAGACAACCGTTTGAATATTGAATAATTTTTCAAGTTGGTACCATTTAATATTTTTTTTTTTATAGCATTTGCCACCCAAAAGTAAACTTAGTAATATTTTATGTGGCGAAGAGAATATAAGTAATATTTAATTATATTATTAAAATGTCATTTAATTTTAATCATTGTATAGTTTTTTAAGAATGAGCAGATATATGTAAGGCATCATATAGGTAAAATGGTATAAGAGTTGAAATAAAATCACCAACGCAGAAAGAGGAACTCCGAATTTCAAAAAGGCCGGACCGTCTTGTAAGGCGTATTTCATGGAATCCGGGTAACTTAGAATGGGTACTCTGAGTCTTTTGCATAACAGGTACTGAGATCTGACCTGGAAGTGAAAAAAATAGATTATTAAAAACTTAGTAAACGTCTGTAAACTGTGTAGTAGGTAAGTATAATGTATAATATTATATAATGTTAATTCAAATTATGTAAATTATTATATTAAAATGATTCTATTACTTAATAACAATTCAACATATCATTACAAACACATTATTTTTCTCAAATGTCAAAAAATAAATAAAAAAGAATATAGAATATAAGAAAAAATATAAATAAATAATATATAAAAAGAATATATACCTAATGTTATTTTGTTAAATTTCTTGTTTTGAAGTACTTGTTTAATAAAAGCAAAAAATAGTTCCTAAATACGGTACTCGGCATATTAAATAATATATTGTTAAATAGTGTCCAAGATCAATCATTTAAAAGTGTCCTTAAAAATGAAAAAAAGCTTCTCTAAAAAATGTACTGTAATCATCCCTCCCCAACCGTTCCGTTTGACCGCATCATGTCGCGGTCCGGTGGTACGGGAAATGCTGAAATGGACAGGAACTGGTTAAACGCACTATAGTGTGACTTCTACAGTACTTGATAACTAAATTAATTGTTTTTTAATGCTTTTTTTTTGGCAGGACCGGGTGAAACACAAAAGCCTAATAATTACAGCATTTTAAATTGTAGACGTCACACTATAGTGAGCTCAACCAGTTCCTGACGATTCTTCAAATCCTTCCGTTGACCGACAGCAGCACGACATGGTCGAGAGTGGGACACACCCGTTTTACTAGGATCTGACAAAACGCATCATGCATAGTATCAAGCAGTGGTGGATATAGAAAGCACCCACCATACCGCATATCGGACTTTTTTTTAATTATAATTTACTTAGCTATCACGTAGAACTAAACGTATTAGATCATGATTTATTATACACTACTACCAAAAAATAGGTTAAATTTATTTTTACCCCAAAGTTGTTCTCGAGAAGTACCTAGAGAGCTGTATATACGTAGCACCCATCAAACAAAATATCCTAAATCAGTCACCAATGCCAAGTGTGCGTTTGGTGATAGTCAATTCCCTTTCTTTTCACTCCTTTGAAAAAATCGTCTACAGTTCCGGTCCGGATGTTACTTACCAAGACGTGCAAGCAATACGTGCACAGGAAACCGATAAGTATGGTGCCCACGGTTCCGATGAGCAGTCCGGAGTTGTAGAAGGCATTGGGCATGGCCAGAATCCCGGTTCCCAAACTGCCTTTGAGCAAGTGGATGAGAGTCTCGGAATTCCTACAAGCGACGACAGATAAAACAAACATAATTAATATTATATCATATTATTATTATGACATCAATAGTCACATCGACCGGTACGGTCATGGTACATAGCAACGGGTGTGCATGTGTCTTATAATTTACAACAGTGATGTTATTACCCTGCTGTCACTCGTCATACGTCGTAAGTGTAAAATATTTACAGTCGTCACCAATTAAAGCATAATATTTATTGATTAATAATAAATTATGGAAGTATAATCGACGATATTAAACGTGGTATGTGGTTAACTACGTATCGAAATAAGCGGTTGCGGGCGTTGCGACAACAATATAATGATTATTGGTATGTTATTATTTTCTACATAATGACCGTACGACGGTCGTCGGTTGAAACGAGCGCGTTTGAAGGGTCGTCGATTTGAATTTAGCTGCGGCTTGCGAGTTCTCAATTAATAATATAATTCATATCATACGCGATACGTTTTTTAAGTATATATCACTGTTGTCTATTATTATTATCATACACAGTGATGATAGATCGAACGCGTGCACAGTCGAGTTTTGTATATAATAAACACAACAAGAGTTCGTCTGCGATGTGCACGCCGTCGATCGATGACAATAATAATAATTTTTTCACATAAAATATAACATATTTTTGTTCAAATAACGAACATGAATGTGTTTTTCAGAGCATATTTTGAAGTGTACAAGTGCATATTTATATATGTTTTAAGATTTTTAAAAATACACAACAAATGAGTAAAAAGTTAATAAACAACAGATTTCAAAATAGGTATACTATAATTATTATCGAAACCCCTCGACACATAATATATAACGATGGGTCTAATACTAGGTTAGGTTTTTGTTGAAGTATACACAACTCCCCGGTACTATTTAATTCGTTATAATTATTTAAATAAATAATAATACATAATGTCGATGTTTCGTTTATAGCGAGACAGTGTTAATACGGTTGCCTAATGGTTTATACCTAATACCTTGACCGCCATGTGCATAATATTTATGTTGTATTGTATTACAAACAGACATGGTGATAACATGTGATACAAGTGATCGCGACCCTTATATAATTATTATATTTCTCAAAACAAAAATCGAAAAATTTACGGCAACGCGATTCGATAAGTACTTAATTCGATTTGTATCTATTGTCCGTAATCAACATTATAGGTTTTTTCATCACTTCATTGGTTCGTGATAATTTATGATATTTTTATGTAAGTCAACTCGTAAATCGATGGTACTCACGTGGTGGGATGTTCAAGTATCCTGTGCGCGTGAGGATCGTATGGCGGGGATCCATTAGCGTTGAGAGAAGCATTTTCCTGCTGCACGTTCACCGCGTATGATTTTGATTTTTGATCCTTGCTGAAAATACAAAAAAAAATACAAATTAATTTTAATTAATGTATATTACTTAAGGACTGCCGTGACTATAGTCTATTCCACGAGAGAATAATCAGTCCGCCGGGCGCCGACCAATTCTCGGCAGTGCTGCGCATCTCCCACCAACTTCCCGGTGATGGTTTGATCACGTGGTTCTCTACGCGCCAATCGAATCATTCGTGATGCGCGAAAAGTGATTATTCTCTCGTGGAATGGACTATAGTGCATATATAGGCGAAATAATGTGGACTTATCTTCCCCAGTATTTTAACTATTAATTTTAGTTTCTACAAATTCAATTTCGGGACCATTAATAATTAATAAAAGTACATAATTTCATATTGCTTATAAATACCAATAGTTAATAATAAATTACGATGTTTTACAACTGATTCTAATGTAAGCTAACTTTACTAACTAGAAACAGATATTGTTCATTTTATCAACACAAATTTAATTGTTGATAGTTTTCCTTTTACATGAACTAACTTGTTTAATAATATAAAAACGAAAAAAAATAGTTATAATCTGAACCCTATAATGTCTAAAAGATTTTTTTTTAAGATTTAGTTATAATTATTATTATAAAATAAGTATTGTAACTAAGACAGTAACACGCTTTAAAAGTGAACGTTGTATCGGTTTATTTTTGTGTAATACCATTAATACCATCGATAGTAGTATCTATGCACGATGGTAATACGTAGAGTACGTCATAATCATATCAAAAAAATTACCCGAAAACAACACAGATAATAATATGTACGTGTGGGTAATTTAAATTCGTCTACAGTGCATAAACAGCGATAAATTAATAAAATATCGAATACAAATATTGCAATGCAATACCACCAATACACGTTTATTCATGGTATATGGAATATAAAATTATGCGACTACTACCGGAGAACACGTTTCAATAAAAACGAGTTTAAACTTATTTCGAATAAGTACTTGCTATGCAATTATTTTAACGCGATGCACTTTGAAAGAAATGCACTTCTAAGAACGGAGTCGAATAGAGATTCGATTTTACATAGAGCAAAAAACGTTTTAGAAATGTTGCGTTGTGTCATGTTCATAGAAATGGCTACCAGGGCCCCATGGACTATCGACACCGTCGACCGCGTTTTCAAGCATAAAATCGTAGAGATGTGTTGTCGTTATTTCATAGAACAGAACTAGTACATAATATTATAAATTATTGTAAGTCTTCAGAATATCTTTATTTCCAACCGTAAAAGATTTGAATGCACTATAAAACGAATTTACCAAAATAATTGTGTAGCGTAATAATAATACTATAAACAACAGTTATTAGTTATTTAGTTTCTAGATAATAACTCGGCGCATCAACCAACTTTTTCGGTGGCAAACAATAAATAAAAAATAAATATTTAATGATGAAAAAAAATAATTTTTAAAGGGAATTTAAACTTCACATTTACCGAAATGACCGACTTCAAAATCGGAATAAAATGTTTTGGAACAAATTCAATCATATGAAAAATACAATTTCGATAAAATACAAATTGTTACTTAGTTAATTTATAATAAATAATAGTGCAATATAAATATATAGAACACATTATATAATATGTTAAATTACTTATCTACTATTTGGTAATAAAAAGGCGCTGCTTTGAAGTATGTATGTTTAATGTTATACTGATTAATACTATTACTGTAAGTTTTAGTAAAATAATCCGAATTCGAATAAAATAAAACTAGAACAGCGTGGTTATAAGATACAAATTTAAGTTACATAAAATGACGACTTCCTTTTTTTTTTGGTCAGTGTAAATAATTTCTGGACAATTCATCACTCGAGCTTTATGGTTACTTTTGCCCAGTATATTTAATTACATTCATTAATTCGTAGGGCAAAATTTACAATTATTTCCATCGAAGTTAAAAACTTCTTTTGGTCTTTTTCTACTTATAGTATTTTTATTAACCTATTTCTGGGTTACAAAAAAAAACTCTGGTAAATGATTATAATACTAATTTTTCAATTAATATAGAATAATAATAATAATTATATAATAAATTAACAACAAATAATATTATAATTAATTTTTTAACAGATAAATACATTTTCGTTGTTGTACGGTGTTTTTCCTAGATTTTACTACAATATAATTGGCATTGTATTATAGTAAGTATCTGCTATTAAGTTGAATATTCTCAAAGACTAAAATTGTACAATTTATTTACAAAATTTAACGTAAACAGAAATATAATATAACTTTAATATTTCTAATAATAGCCTAAAATACCTTAATAACCTAACCTAACCTATATTTCTCATAATAACAATAAATTCGTAATAGTATTTCACTTTCGAGCGAATACTTACCAGTTACCAGGATTCCATGGTCATAAGACTCACAACAGTTGCTCTGCGTTATAGAATTATACTATTAAACACAGACGACATTCTTTCTGTGATGTTTTATTGAATTTATTAATGTCTGAGTTTTGGACAACCGTGTGTAGTTGGATAACTACACACATCCTGAATATAACATATTATGTATAATACGCATTATGGTCAATAAACGAGAATTCCTTAGCTGCCATACGTAACTGACTAAAGATATTATACGTATTTAAAACAGAAGAATATTGTTTAACGGGAAAAACAATCGGATAGGTTTTGGTTAAGACGAGTTTAATGTTTAGAGTAATATATTAACTGTCAAATATTTTGAAACAATCTCATAATAAGTTAAAATAATTAACTATGTATAGTATACTAAAGATAAGGCAGAGGACCACATTTCATAATTTTTTTTTTTTATGTCGCAGGCCTAATTTGTAATGAAAACATAAAATTAATAAAAAATACATACTATGCTTAAAATGTGTTCAATAAAAACTGTTAACTTCTAATAAAAACAAAAACGGCCGAGGGGATAAATAAGACCTCTGCATTAGATGACCAATATATTTATATAGGTACGTCATTTTGGCGTTTCAAGTTATATGTAGTGATAATAATAATTAATATTGTCATCATAACAGACTGCATTATTTTAAGCGTGGTAAAAAATAAAAATAAGTATCATCTAAGCACATGACGTTTCTAAGCTAATATTTAAATTCGAAATATAATATATTCATTGTTTAATATATATTTAACGATTATCGTATAAAATTCGAATATTAAAAATAAAATAAGACTACCTATAGAAACATTAAATTAAATTTTTTAATGAAATAGTTTTAAATACCTAATATAGTATACAGACCTTGTACAGTTTGTCGATATTGCAGATAAACTTTATTAGAGTACGTTTATTAACAATAATATCAACAAGAATATTAAGAACATACATCTATTACAATTTAATATTTATAGAATTGCTTATTGCCTAATTGTAAAGACAAAACATAAATAATAATTATTTAGTTATTGTAATAAAGATTTTAAGCTTAGGTACCCAAGTGTTATCAAAAAAAAGTCTACATTTAATCGCATTTAATTGAACTTCGACATTATCTAATATTCCAATGTAAAAAGATAATTAATTAATAATTAATTCGTTGGTACTAATATACTATCTTTAAAATTGAAGTACATAAAAGAGTTATGTCTACATAGACATAACAAGGCTATTACTGTACCTACTACCTACAGTAAAAATAAACTGTAAATCGACGGACGTTTTACTACTGTTTATATTATATTAAATCGAAGTTCGAATACATTATTTTCAAATGAATGTGTGGGCAAGAAAATTAGTTCAGTCAAAATAATATCAGTAACCTAAAATGGGATATAATTTTTAAATTATAACCGTATTTTTATTACTAAAATTAAAATGTACGATATTTAACTTATATTCGCTTAAATATTATCACTGAAGTGCGGCTACTTTTCTAATAAATTGTTTATTTTTTTACGCAAACCACGTTTACCCGTTTATTAATTTAATACCGCTACGTACCCATCATTATGTACCTATTACCTATAAATCTATTTGTTATGGCATAACAAATACAACGATGGAGCTGTATAATTTTATGTATAAACAAATTTGCGTCTTGTTATACGTATTTAATATTTATACACAAAAAGTAAAAATAACTGTAAATATTTAATATGGAAATGTATTAAATAAAATCTGAATTTTCGGATATCTCCGCTGTTATATAACAATGCGCAATTATAAGCTAATAACTATATTATAATATACCCGAGATTTAATAACTGATGGTTTTAATATGTGTCTAATTTGATTAATAAAATAAAAATATCAGCGTAAAGGGTATAACAATCAAGTATAATAATAAATTGATATATTCATATCAAAATTAATATCTGTGATGTCCCGTTAAGCAATCATTGACATATTATATGTCTATGTACTCAACCATTCTATGTCTGATGGTAACAATCCGAACCTAAATTCAATGACCCGTATCCATATTTTTTATTCTAAAAGTACACGACAACGAAAATAGCTACAATCGATTGAAATAATGAAAACGAAAACAAAATCGTGAGAAAATCGTGAACGATATGGAGATAAGACTTTCGAACGCCAGTGTCATGATTCCATTGAAGATGAGAATTTCTGCGATATACTAGTATAAAGCATGGTAGCATGAGCGCCCCATGGTCCATCCTATGGTGTGCGGAAATGAATGAAGCAATACGTAATATTAATATCTTTATTAAAAAGTAAAAAGATAAAATAAATTATAAGCAAGCGCCCCGTGAAAAGTATGCGTTCTAACATACTTAGTTTCCCGATGAAAGTATAAACCGCTTTTGGATAGATAAATCACGAAACGCGTCCACACCGAGGTGGCAGGTAGCACATTTTAATTTTGCAACGCATTCTTCTGACGAAAAAATTGCAAACTGATTTTGAACGTTCCTTGTTGCAACTCGCGAGAAACAATAAAAATATGTGTTTTATCTTCGCTTGTTTCGAGTTTGGATTTTTAAGGGGTAAAAGTATCAAATGTAAAATAACAAGACCACGTGTTGCAATAATTATAAAGTGCAGACGAATAACGATGTTGCAAGAAACTGAGCAACATGGTATATTGGTATTGTCGCTTCTTGAATTTTATCTCAAAGGTTTTGGTTTGGTGTGAACTTCACAATAGTAATACGTCGCAGAAAATTGCAATTTACCGCGTTGGTTTAAGTTTTCCGAAAATTTCGATTTTTGCTCCCTCCGAAGAACGACTTTCAGACAATATGAAAATACAATTTACGCGAGCCGGTGAGCAACGTTTCATCGACCAGAACCACACATGTCGCGTACGAAACACGATTACCGGTTTTTTCATCGAAACTCATTGTTTTTGTGTGCAGATTATCAGTTTTTAACACATCTAGCTCAGCGCTACCATCTCGTCTAGACGTACATTAAAAAAAACGGATTATCCGTCCGACTAACCGCAACAGACATCGTTTTACAAAAAGCAAACACGGTTAACGGATAGCGTGGGCCCTAACCAAACAAATTCGTCTGGACCGAAACTGTTTCGTTGGCAGACGTTGGAAATGAAAAAAACCGCCACACCTAAAACGTAAGAAACAGTCGGTGAAGATAAACTGCTTGATTGCAAAATCGAGTAGAGAACTCAATATCGTGAAACCGTAGTACACGACGTCACGGCAATACGGTATCATGTCAGTTATTATTAATTAATAATTATTATATTGCGTCGACGGCTAAATAATATTGTGTTTCGAACAAACGGCAAAAACTATTACACTGCCATCCGACAAAACCCCAGGGTACGGTATCCGGTTACTGGCTTGGACGTTTCGCAACTATTTTATAGGAAATACACCGACACTATAGTTGCAAAGGGTCGACGCCAAAATAAGCTAACCAATTACGAATAACACAGTAATCGATAGGCATTGAGATCTCGTACGAACGTACCCAATTAACGCGGCGATTCGAATAGTTTATGTATGATCACTACCTGGTACAAAGTTTAATGATATTATAAAAATAGGAAATATAATTATAATTATCAACACTATTCTCTTTAATCACAACAAACAATATTAATATAGATTTTGAAGAGCGAACAAGAACAGATTAGTAACAACTAATGTGTACGTTAATCGTATTTACGCAAACGTTCACAATAATAATACAAAAACAACTATTTTTCACCTAGCCACGTGGTTTAACAATAATCTGCTCCAAAATCGGGCCGACACCGCACCGAAATATTAATGCGTTCAACATATAATACTCGACTGAAAATAAAAACGAATATTATTTCGGTGAAAATTTTGCGATTTGACCGCTAAGCACAATATTCGTCATTCGAATATTCATCGTCAGCATTTTGTTTCTGTAGCGCACACACGAAATGATAAAATTAAAATGTAATATATACAGTCATACAGACGTCACGACGTCCGTGCATTGAATTATTATTGTTCTCATTCTCGTCGTATAAATGCATAATAATATATTATTAGCTAAAACCCATTAGCAAGTATAATGCAACTGCCGAATAGCACAGTGCCCAGGTGCACACCAAACGATCGTTGACTTCGATTTCACCCATTCGGTTTTAATAATATGGTAAGTGCGCAAAAATTTATCGAGAATTTTTTTAAGTTTTCCGTCACTTTTCGACCGACAACATAATATTATTATTAATATCGTTCAATCCTAAGGTCGGGCAGATCCTTTCCCAGTGCCGTCGAGTAAAAAAAAATACATCGTACCGGTATAGTTGGTACGGCCGTACGGCGGTTGTCTGTAATGTTCCATTCGAATTTTCTCGTGCACGAGTGGATTAGAGCCTATACAAGCGCGTCTTCAAAAACTGTTCGATACACCCGAACCGTGGCGGCTGCTACCAGCTGCCCACCCGCCCCCGTCGCCGGACTACTACCGGTGGAATTTTACCCAAAACTGGTTTTCCAGGTAGGCACAAGTGATCCGTAGGCCGTGTTTTTGTTTTGGTGCGCCCACATTTTTGAAACACACACACACACACACAATACGTGCGTGGTAAGAACGTAAACAACATTTTCTTCGTTTTATATCGATTTGTGTGCACCCCGCAGCGCGGAGGCGAAGAAATACCTCTGAAAACGAGTGAATTCCGAACGAACACGACGACGATTTCGATTTGCTTTGACAATACTCGAGGCGAGTGTCCTGCAAAACATTCCAAATTCGGTAGCCAACTCGCAAGACCAAGAAATAATAGTCACACGGTGTGCACCCGAGAGCGCAGTTGTAGACGACAACACATTATAATATACAATATCTAACCCTCTTTAGCCACACCCTCGGCGGCCGGTTCGGTTAACGGCCAAAAAAAAAAAACCGCGTTAACACGCCGGGTTTGTAGAAAATCGAAAATACCCAACATCGTAACCTTAAACAGATACCGTTATTACGGGGAGGTGTGCAATATTAATATTATTGTCGTTGTACTCACGTGTCGGACGGGGGTCCGATGCCAGTCAGCGACAGCGATTCAGACATGTCGAAATCGCGATGGTTCCTGTGGGTGTACCTGAAAAACAAAACGCAGGACGCGGTGGTCGATTAAAAAGGACTCGTGCCGGTGGTCGAAATAGTAGTACGAAAAAAGACACGTGAACTACGACCACGACAACAACATCGTGTAATGCGTGCAATGATAATACTATTACGATATCGTACGACGACAATACTAAAAAGCGTGCATCACCGAAGTGTTGCGGTGTCTCACCTTTGGAAATTTTGGCGGCAAAACGATTGGACGGACGGCGACGACGACAAACGATGAGGGCAAGACCGACGTCGGACGTGCGCGCGCGACGGATGACCGAAATGTCAATAACTGTTCGCCGGCGGACCGCAACTACTGAACGCGTATGGTAGCCTGCGACGGCGGCGGCACTCGTCCCGGTCTCGTGTCGAGCATGCGCCCCACTATCGCGCACCGGCGCGGCGGCGACCGTGATCGATATTATTATTATTATTATTATTATTATTATTATTATTATTATTATTATTATTATTATTATTATTATTATTATTATTATTATTATTGTTGTTGTACGATCGTGGGGTGGCGGGAAACGGAATAGTTTCCATTCATTGGACCGTCACACGTACAGTCGTGAATCTGGAACGCATTAGTGGGTTAAAACGCAGCCCCGTGATATTATCATGGAAATGAACCATGTCGTTGTCGACGTCTGCGAAAATATCGTGTCCCGAAAACCTACCCGTCTAGGGTGGGTTTACGCGGGAAAGACGTGCTCGTATATCGTTGTTTTGATCATCGTTATCGTTATTACGTCGATACGTTAAATTATTATTACATTGTATCGTCTTTTGCCGTCAAAACTCGACTTTTCCGTTTCTCGGTCACGACGACGAACTCGGAACATCGCGTATTATAAAGATATATTCATGCCCCCCACCCCTTTCGAGCACTTGCTTTTCTATTAAACTTGCCCCGTGCTTCCCGAATCGGATGCATATTATTCAGAGACCGAATTCGGGGCTCTTATAGAAAGCTGGACAGGACTTGCTTTCCGTTCAACAGCCTGTGGTGGGCCCACAATCCTCATATATATACGTATGTATAATAACTAGATAGCCTATCTTAATATTACGGCGTTGGGCATCATAATTCGATAATGTTGTTGTTAACGGAGTCGGCTGAGGCGGCTATATAGTTATAATCAGGGGTTGGAAGTTGTATGAGCTAAAAAAGGTAAAATATGCTCGAACAAATTGCAAAATATGCATTAAAAATGTTAAATATTCAAAAATATTATTCCGAATTCCAAAAATTAAATACATCAGATGTTGTTTGCAAATTAATCATATACACAAAAATTATTTATAACTAAAAAAAAAGTATAACTGGTTGGCATTTTGACATCTTATATTGAGCTGAAAATAAAATTAGTAATATTTTTTCAGTATTTTTTAAATTACGAAAAAAATACATGTTTTCTAATACCTGTTAAGTTATTGCATTGAACCACCAATATTTTCTTAAGATTTTCTTTTTCAAATGAACGACGATTATTCGATAGAAGATTTTTATATCGAGAAAACGATCTTTCAACGTTAGTTGAAACTTGAAGTCATCGGGGCATATTTATAAAATTGACCATGGCGATGACAATATATACGTTCGTTGGTCATTTTGAGTTTTATATTCAATATTAGTTGAAATATACAGGTTAAGAAAGAAAAAAATCAATTTTTTTTAGAGAAATATGAAATATGCATAATATGTGTATAAAATCAATGAAATATGCACTTTTTAGCTAAAATTGGTAAAATATGCAAAATATGCATTTTCAATTTTCAATTTTTTAACTTGCAATTGTATATTTCAAATTTCTAGCTAGGTCTGCTATAAATTGAGATCATACAGAACAATATGCAATTCCTACAACTTCCGAGCCCTAGTTATAATATATATCCGTGAGTGGGCCTGACATTTAAGACCTAAATGGATGTTTTCTATGATATTATTATCACTGAATGGATAAAGCTTATTACTTTGTTCTTCTAAGATTTGATCATAGATCAACAATTAAATTATTTTATTTTATTTAATCCATGATCTTATGTTCGGACCACTCGGGATACCTTCTTTTAAATCCGTCTCTAACGGTGTATCTATATTATTATTATTATTTTTGAGAATTTAAAATAATATTCCGAGTTTACGTCGAATTCTATAATAAAACTCGTTGTTCCTCGAAATCTACTTTTGAGTATATTATCACTGGCACAGCGGCGGCGGACATTTTACGCGCGGTTTTGCCCGCCTTGCACCAGACGTATATTAATAATGACAACCATACAATAATTTGCACTGTGCGTCGTCGTGGAAATAGAATTCCAGACGTCTGTTGTATAACGTCTTATAGCTGGTTACCTCTGTTTGGAAAAAAAAACCGAACACCAGACGTCGTCGGCGGCGACGTTTGGAATGCGTATTATAGGGGTACGATATTGTGTGCCTAGGCGATGGACGAGGCGGTGGTGGAGGTGGGTTACAGTGCTCACAATCGTGAGATGTATTCATCATAGAAATAATATTATAAAAGAGAGAGAGTAAAAAATAAAACACACTTCGTTATAGCGTATTATTATTATTAAATAGAAGAAACGCGCCGTATTGTCCTGCACTATAATAATAATAATAATAATAATAATAATAATAATAATAATAATAATAATAATAATAATAATAATAATAATAATAATATAATATCGTGTGCTACCCAGTCCCGAGAATATGATGGCCAACCGTACAGATTAGTGTTGTACTAACTGCATAGAGCACAATATTCTATAGTTATCGTCAAGATTCGTAGAACACAGCACACACGATTTTCCGAATCGCCTTTTCGTTGTCGTCGTCGTTTTCAGTCCAGACAGTCAGTTTTTGAATAATATTTTTAAATCACCGACCTGTCGGGACCAACGTCATTAATCATGCACCTACAACCTACGTATCGACAACGACGTATCGTAGTGAAAAATAATAAGTTATGGCTTATGATTTGGCCAATGATTGTAATTTTTATTTTTAACCATAAATAATTTAGATTGCGATTTCTAAGTATTGTCAAACATAACAATACAATAGTGCAAGATACTCATTAGTAATATTTAAAAAAAAAAAATGTATAGAAATATCCAATGAGGTACATATTTTGTCAATAAAAACTAAAATTTAAAAAACAATAACGCCAACCACGAGTGTTGATAACGGTAGACGGAAAAAAAACCAAAAAATAAAACCAAAGGAAAAAAAGACCACGGAAAAAAACCAAAAGAAAAAAAAACCATGAAAATAAAAACCAAATTTTTATATTTTGCTATATTATGTCATATTTCATTAGAAATAAGTTTTAATTTTCTAATTAAAAATTTCGATCAATAATCCAACTGCCCAGGTATCAGAGGTGGCTTGTAAGCACCTTTTACCGGGGCATTATTTTAAATTTTCAATCCAGTCAAATAAAGTAAAAATAATAATAAAAAAATCGTTATCGATATCTTATTGTATAAGAGATGGCAGTTAAAAAGTTTTCAATATCGCGTATACCATTATCATAATTGATCTTCACATAATTTTTTTTAATTGGATTCGTATTTTTTTTGTACACAGTTTTTTTTCTTTTCTGTTGTGATACTCCTAGTTGAATTTGGGTTAGTTTTGTTTCATCAGCTGCCACTTCTAACCTTATTTTAGCTATAATAGTCCAAATTATTGGATGTGTTTGTCCTACTAATTTACTAAACCTTTTATTCCATCATTCCGTCAAATTGTTTGTACTTTATTCATCATTTAAAGTTAAGTCGTGAACGTTCCATAAATTTGGTGGAAAAATAGGTGGACAATTTCTTCTTAATACTATTCTGTTATTTTAATTTCTAATTTGCCTGTATTTTCCATTATCGTATGTTGTATCGAAATAATTTAATAACGTTTCAGCCTCCTCAGGAACAATGTTTTTTAAATATGCCATACCATATTTAACATCTTCAACTGGTAAAAATGCCAAACCATCAATTTTTCCACAAAATTCGATTAAGTTTTGATTTTCTCTGTATTGTGTCTGTATGGTAAAAACAACCCTGAATATGTATATGTTGTCCGAGAACATATTCTGTGATAGCTGTGATAATTGCACGTTCAAAATCAACATGTACTACCACAGGATCAGGGAATAAATTTTGTTTTTCGCATTTTTTTAAAATATTTTTTCCCTCGTGTTTGATAACGAACATAATATGGCCTTTGAATGTTATTTTGTCATTACCTTAATTTGACGTAATTATTTCCATAATTAAACAAAAGAAAAACTTGAAAAACTTGAAAACTTGAAAACCCCCTTTAAACACGATAATTCAGTTCGATTGCCAATGTTATGCTACACTGTGTAACAACTAAATAATATTTATAATAATTAGCCACTAGGTAATACCTGCAATAAAATGATGCACGTGTGCCTGTATTTTCTTAGCAGTCTAAATAACTCAAACAACTCGTAGTTCCGATTTGGTATCCATAAGATATTATATACAATAATGTAATGTGATGTAGGTACCTTTTTTATCTTAATGGTAGTTCTATGCCTCAATAGCCTCATGGCTATATGCTTATACACATATTATAGCCATATTATGTAGGTACAATGATATAAGATATAAATTGACTAAATTTTTCCAACCCGGAAATACTACTCCCAAAACATAGTATAACATAGTTAAGAGGATGTCACTCCCGCATGTGTTGTCTCCGTCTTACAAATGTACAACATAGCAAAAACTGTTTTGCACGGGACAACTTTTCTCGCACCATATTTGTTGTAGAAATACCTATATATATTATTTTTAATCATTCAAAATGCACAAATTAGGTAACGATAGTCAGTGGCGTATATAGAAATAATTTATAACTTATAATTTATAATAGTACCTAATAAAATATATACCCAGGATATACGCCACTGACAATAGTATTCAACTGATAGAATACATGGGCAATTGGATTATTGATCAACATTTTTAATTAGAAAATTAAAACTTATGTCTAATGAAATATGACATAATATACCTAGTAAAATATAAATATTTGGTTTTTATTTTCATGGTTTTTTTTTCTTTTATTTTTTTTCCGTGGTCTTTTTTTCCTTTGGCTTTTTATTTTTTGGTTTTTATTTTTTGGTTTTTTTTCCGTGATTCGTTGAAAACCAATAGGAGTACGAACAACGTTTAAAAAATTATATTCTGTCTGATAATACTCAATTCTATAAATAATAGAAAACAATGATGCCAAATGTGTAAACCTTAAGAGACGCTATTGATTACTTCAAGATCGCGTGAATTGTTTCAA